CCCTCTCTCTCTCTCTCTCTCCCTCCCTCTCTCCCTCCCTCCCTCTCTCTCTCTCTCTCTCTCTCTCTCTCTCTCTCTCTCTCTGTCTCTCTCTTTCGATGCACGTCTTCCCGAACATCCTTCATGGCAGCAAACGGAGTGAAAGTTCGCTAGGCCCCTTCACAGCCGCATATTTCCGCAGGAAAGCCCGGCAAGCTGGTGAACATCCCGGAAGTGCAGGCCGCCACGGGTTTTGGGTTTGGGTGTTGGTGGATGCTTGAAGTGCAGATGCAACCATGAATTTGGGCTGACATGGTTTGGTATTTGCGTCCAGCTTGATGCAAACCTGTGCAGACACAGACACAGACAGCTCTATCTAGCCCGCTACCCGCCCATCCAGCTATCAGTTTGTTGTTTGTTTATCTACCTGTCTATCCGTCTGTCTGGCTAGTCTAACTGCCTATCTATCAATCACTCCTTGTCTGCATATACACGTCTGTATCTATATGTCTCGTTTACATACACACACACATGCATGTGTGNNCATCCATGCATCCATGCATGCATACACACATATACACATACACGTACGTATACAACAAATGCGTGTACGGGACAATATTGAGATATGTATGTCACATTGTGGTTTGCTGTGGAAGTAAGCTGTGCGGTGGACATGTCACTTCCGTCGTAAGCCTCAGCACAGGTTCAAGAATGTTTGCGTCCACATACAGTTCGTAGAAAGAAAGCTGGACAGACAGATAGGTACATGGAAGATGGTCAGATAGACAGATCGATAGATAGATCGGTAGGTAGATAGGTAGGTAGGCAGACAGGCAGCCAGTCACGCGAGGAAGGCAGAAAGACCAGACAGACATAGACAGATAGATAGACAGAGAGGCAGAAGGTCAATATAGTCATTGAGGTGTTGCTGTTTCGGCTGCATGGCTTCAACTTGGGGCAAAGGTTTCAGTGCGTGGTACTTGTTTCGTTCGAGGGCTTGGGGTCCATGGTTGCAGGATCGAAGTCACATATCCTGAAGCCCCAAATCTTGCATGATTCTGAGGCTAATGACCGAAACCTTCGAACCATGATAGTGGTTCCGCCTCTCCACTGGGCAGGTAAAGGGCCTGTGCACGGCTGTCCGCCAGATCTTTCTGGATCAGAACGCCACTGGGACAAAAATATGAAAGGAGTATATCAGGGTCATGTGCAGCTAGCTGCCGGGTTTTCGTTGGCTTGGTACAAGCATGTCGGGGTCGATTGTTCAGGAAGCGCAAAGAGGCCCACTTTGTTCTTTGGCTTGGTGCATTGGGGGTTTCTTTTGGGCGTCCTGCCTCCTTCTTTCGGGGTCGAAAAATGTAGCGGCCTGCAATCACTAATCACAAAGCGGCTTCCTGCGCGCACTGAGCTGCCGGCTGCAGATTAGGAAGTGTTTGTAGTTCTGTTGTGAGGATGAGGTTGAAGGTTTGGATTGCTTGATCAAGTCTTCATGTTTGAATGCGCCCGGTTCTGTGCTCATTCGTAAATGTTTGCGTGCTGGGGGATGAGTATTCCCCCAGAATCTCCAGACAAGCGTGAGATTGGGTTCTTACGTTCCAGAGTACAGAGGGACTGGCTGGTTTTCAGTGCGAGGCGTGCCCCGCACACAGGCGCACGTGTGGTCCACTTCTGCGGCGCGGTGCACATTTAAATTTTGGATCCATGCACAAGTCCCGCTGCAGCCGCGTCCTCCAGGGACACCATTGCAAGTGGTGCCATGTTGAAGCGCGCGAAATGTCCAAGGGCCGCACGATTCGTCCTGTGGTCCTGGGGGGGGGCAGCGTATTTTGCACTACTCCTAATTCACCGGCACATGGGGGGAAACGATTGGTTTTGGTCGCCACGGTGGCCCTGGTCGTCCTGTTATGTTTGGGGTGTAGTATCTTTTTTCTAAAGCCTGAAACCCGAACATCCTACCCCACAAGAGCGCCGAACTCGAAACCTCAACCCTGAACCACTCCGAGTTCCCGGTACCTGAGCCCAAAGGCGCTCTACCCGTCAGTTTTTGTTCAGGCCCTGCTGGAGCTCGAGGCACCCTTGAAGATTTGCCACCCGGCCGAGCTCTGGTGTTTTGAGATTTCAGGGTTTGGTCCACAGGCTATGGGGTTGGGGGTCGTGTGTTGAGTGGCAGAGTGTCTGAATCCTAAACCCCCGAGCTCTGACCCATGCAATCAAGGCAATATGCATAAATCCCTATGCCCTAAACTCCGAATGCCCGTGCTGTAGCAAGGAGGAAAAGGGTCCACACAAAAGAAAAATGGAAGCCCCTGCCAAGGTGGCGATGTCCATGGCCAGTACCATGACCTGCTCCGGCTTTTTGAGTACGGCGGTTTCCCTCCGGACATCTGGCCCCGGGAAGAGTTCAGTTGCTCGCGAGCTTTGGAAATTTCGACGTCAAAAACTTAGGATCAAGGCTCTCAGTGTCGGGTTTCACGCTGGCGGTCTGTATTGGCTTTAGGCATCTCCGAAGTGTTCCGAGAGTTGGGAGGGTCTTTCATGAATAGCCACGGAGGAAAGTCCCTAAGCCCATGCCCTCAAACCTGGAACCTCGCCCAGGCATGTCCAAGTGTGAGTGCTGAAACCAAGCGCGCTACACCCCGCAGCCTCAGCCTGCCGGAGGAAAGCAACTACCTCTTCCTGGGCGACTACGTCGACCGAGGCACGGCCCGGATGGGCGAAGATCTCACGGCAAGCAGCAAAAATGGGCAGAAATGATGCACACAGGAGCACGGCCAAGAGGAGCATCAAGTTTTGCATCACATGAAGCACAAACAGGAGCACAAACAAAAGAAAGAACATGTGCCGTAGTTTCGCAGTTGCTGCTTTGACTGTAACGTTTCTGGTGGAAGGCCACCTCTTGCTAAACTAAACATCAAAAAGCACAATCAGGAGCACCCGATTTTGCGACAGAGAATGCACAAACACATTCACAAAACTTTGCTCCATAAAAAACACTACAACCCTGCATTTCGCAAAAAACATCTCGAGTAATACGAATTTCGATGGGCGTTCCTGGATCGAGATTCTCCTCCGTTTAAGTTAGGCCCTTTGCTGCCTAGCCGGCCAATTCAGGCCCCAACACCGAAAACAAGCCGTTAGTTCGTTACTGGTGCTGAGGTGGGGTTGGGTCTGGGTGGGGTCAAGCAGAATCTTAGTGCCCGAAACGGGAGTCTCACCTGCAGGGTTTAAGACGTTTAAGATTGAACACACGGCGTTGAAGCTCTGAGCTGGGATTCAGAGGCTTTTGTTCCTTTCCGGGAATTGGCTTGTTTTGCGGGGCATTGCAAAGGCCTTCATGGAAGCGTCCAAGCAGCAAGAAGTCGCTGCAACCGAAAACTTTAAACCACCAATGCCAAGAAGATCCCAGCTTTTGACTATCCCCAGAGCCTCCTCATAGCCAAAGCCCACAAGGCACCATGAACCTTTAGCCGAAACTCTTCGAAGACTGTGCCTGAAGAGGCAAGCAGAGCCTGGAGACCATCACCTTGCTTTTCGCTTACAAGGTGCATTCATCCATGAGAGAGAGAGAGAGAGAGCGCTAAGGTATGCTAGGATTACCAGGGGCGCGGATTTTGTACTTTATTTTTAAGCAAGATTGGTTGCGGGACTAGTGTGTGCCCAAATTTGGATCTTGCGTGCACCCTGCTACCATCATGAAACCAGACTCACGGCGCAACATGTTTTCATTGAAAAAAGTCATGTACTGCAAATGCAGCCTGTACATAGAAATTGTGGCCGTTCTATTCGCTATCTCAAGTACCATGACCGGGAGCACAAATAGACTCAGACGTGCAAGCTGGGAGTCCAAGCCTAAACAGCCAGCAAGGTTTGAAATTGGTTCTGACCTCAGTCCATACGCCTGGAAAAGTTCACCCTAGCTAACCCCTGCTGCTTTCCGCAGGCGAAATTCCCGGAGAATTTTTTCCTCCTGCGCGGCAACCACGAGTGCGCCTCCATCACGCGCATCTACGGCTCCCTGAACCATTTCTGCTGTAGGGGATTGCACTGCAGGCTCCTTAGTATGTATCCCATTAAGCCCCAAACTTTGTCATCAGGCTTAGCCTGAGATGTGGCAGTAGATCCCGAACTTAAATACGAGGTTTCGACTCGAGATCAGATGTACCAGATAAGGTCCTGGGTTTTGCGCTTTTGGGCTTCATCGTGAAGGGGATGCACTTTGGAGGGCCCTGATGTGCAGATCGAAAGCAGGTTTCGAGGAGCTGTAGGTTACTCGGGTTTTATAGGGTGTTAAATGTTCTTAAGATGAAGCAAGGTTTCATGTCTTTCTGGATCCTGATGCAGGGTGGGAAATGTGTCAAAACGGCAAGCTGGAAACCCGGTGGAAGTCCAGTATGCTATTATGCTATCAACTATGGATCTTCAGCCCCGCAATCAAGCCCTCAACCCTATATAGCAATAAAGCCCTTCTGGGTTTGTCTAGATGCCCCGGTGTTGTCTTTGGGTCACAAGGCATCTTGAATCCCAAGTGCGCGACCCTACGAAGCCAATGCAATATGAAGGGGTGGAGAACTGTTGCAGACACCGAAGGCTTCTACGACGAGTGCAAGCGGCGCTACAACATCAAGTGCCCTGTTTGAAAATTCCAGAAATCCTGCAGACAGCGCTTTTGACATGCATTTCTCCGGACGTTTGTAATACTGCTTGTTTTCAGCAGACCTTTGCCGTTGTGTGGTCATGAAGCTGCTGGATCCTATGCCCAGGCTGTGGAAGCAGTTCTGCGACGTGTTCAATTGCATGCCTGTGTGTGCCATCATCGACGAGAAGATCATTTGCATGCACGGCTGCTTGCCTGCTTGCCATCAGCTGTGTATCGGACTTTGTTATGAAGGTCATACGCAGCACAAGAGGTGGCTCCCGCCGGCCTCAGGTGCATGCCGAATCCTAGTAGTAGATCCTTGGTTCCGCGTCTCTAGGCAGTTCGACGACCTCTGCATAGAACCACCTCTGTTAAGATGCCGCACAGGGCTTCTCAGGAATGGAATCAATCGGACAGCAAGATAGAGTTGCAGAAGCTGAGTCATAGTGTTCCTCAGAAAGATCCTCTGTATCTTGACAGTTTAAAGTTACATGTGTGTGTATAATATATATATATATAGATAGATATATATATATAAATATATATATATACACATACAGAACTATAGTAGAAGCCAGAAAGTTGGCTCATGCCCTTTAGGCAAAGTATAAGGGATCCTAGCACTAATCCGCCTAAACCCATGTTCCAACTTTCTGGGATTCACTATAAGCGCACATGATCGGGTCGAATAAAAACATGCCACCCTTGTCTCACATGCATCAGGTTGTCACTTGCTCGTCACAGAGCCAAGGCCTACACCCTAAGCCGGCGTTTCCCAGGTGGACTGTCGCCCGAGATCAGCAACACTGACCAGATCAAGAAGCTCGTCAGGCCTCGGTTTGGGGTTCTCGAGTTTCAAGCTCGAAACAGCTGATGCTGTTCTCAGCTCCTGCTCGAAAAGAGGTAAGTCAGCAAGACCGAAACGTCACAATAACCTTCAAGCACTTTGCCCGAGTACGCGTGAAGCTGAGGAGTGAAAGAACTCCAGTCAGCTGCACACGGCGGTAGCTTAAGGTGTTGGGAAAACAGAACCGGAAATTCTGAAACCTAATTACTTTGGCGCAAGGCCGACAGATGTCCCGGACACGGGACTGATTTGCGACCTACTTTGGGCGGACCCTGACAAGGACGGTTTGTTCAGGGTTTGGGGCGTGCAAGGCTGCCAGATGTTGCAGTGTCTAAGGCCTTCGCACGCTGTCAGGGTTTAGGCTTGCCGGCAACCTAACTGTAAAAATGGTCAGCTGCCATGGCCCGAAGTTCCTTTTTGGGGCTCCGAGACAGCACTGTGGCAGGACATCGCAGGCTGGGCAGAAAACGACCGTGGAGTTTCGCTCCTGGGTTCTGCAAGACAAAAAATACTTACTACTATTACTACTGTTTCTACCAATATTTCTATTTCTACTAATACGCTGATACTTCTAATACCATTATTAGTACTATTACTACTATTACCATTACTATAACTGCTATTTCCACCCATTTAGAGTCATGTTCGCAGGATCAAGATCTGTGTGGTGAGCAGCTGCTTTTCAATCCTGCTCCGCCGGAAAGCATGTCCTGGCAGAATGCACCAATACCATGATTTTCGGGACCCCGACCTGGTATTCGGCATGCTTGACACAACAAATGCAGAGCTCAGTGATGTCAACAGCTATAGGAGCAAGATGCAGCAAAGCAGCCTGAACTGCTACTTCCCCCATGTTCGTGCGTTTGGGTTTATGTTGGGGTTCCGAGTTGCCAACAGAATTTGGTGAAAAGGCCCGGACCTGAAATCTCAGTCGAGCTGGTCAGCACACCAGGAGCACTTCTCATCGGGAGCAGGATGCTGACTTCAAAGCGGAGTGATCCCAAATTCTGAACTAGACTAAATCGTCTTCGTTCTCCCATGAATTTCGAGTTTCCCATCGAAAAGGTGCAGCCCCCAGGGTGTGAGTACTCGGCCTTGACACAACCTTCCGCATTATGAACCAGTTCAGCACACTCCCCAGCTCACAGCCGCACACTGAGGTTTATTTTCGGCCCCGACGTGGTCACCAGCTTCCTGCAGACCCTCCCACGCAGCGAGATAGCCTGAAGGTTATTAGATGAATCTGGCTGCGTTTCTGTGCATGAAGATCAAGACTTTCACTCCAGCCCACTCCTTGTGTCTCTGTGTGTCTCTGTCTGTCTGTCTGTCTGTCTGTCTGTCTGTCTGTCTGTCTGTCTCTCTGTGTGTGTGTGTGTGTATGTGTGTGTGTGTGTGTTTGTGTTTGTGTTTGTGTGTGTGTGTGAGTGTGTGTGTGTGTGAGTTTACATGTTCTGTCTGTTGTGTTGTCCGTCTTTTCTTTTGCAATGCGGCGCAGCGAGGCTACAGTATGGTGTGGCATGGCCTGGTGTGGTACTGCCTGGTATGTTATGTGACACTGTGCCATGCCAGTGTTATGTTGGGCACTTTTAGGCATGGCGCGGCAAGACAGGACAGGGAAGCACACTGCAATGCAAAGGTATGTTGTTCGTTTAGTGCTTTGTTGTGTTGCATGTTGTGACCTTGCGCCGACGCTAATACCGAGGCTATGCTATTGTTTTAAAGGGGCCACGCCTGAATTTTGCGTCCAGGAACTGCTTTGTAGAACGATCCAATTGAGGACTGAAGACTTAGGGTACAGGCATTGATCTCGTTGGAGCTGACGCATAAGCTAAGCAGCTAAACCCTGTCGTTTGTTTGGATTTCTTGTGGATGTTCAATACAATTGGGCAATCTCTAATGGTGGTACCTGCGCCTGCCCTAATCCTAATTAGCTCAGTACCCAGTTGGTCCTCCGCAGCAGCACTGTTCTGAAGCCAAGGAAGCATGACATGGACCTGGTCTGCCGCGCGCACCAGGCTCAAAGAGCAGGATAGCAGCGAGCAGTGAAGGTTAAGTTAGGGTTTAGGTGTGGGTGTAGGGTTTGGGGGTTTCGCTAGGCAGCTCATATTTTTGACGGCGGGCCTGCATGGGTCAAAGCTGGTGAAACGGACTGACGTTTCTATGACTGGTTCAGGCACACAGTTTGGATTCACGAGATCTTGCAGGATTCATGTCTGCCCACCGAGGCATCCACAAACGTTGGTATGTGCTTATGCACATGTGCCGTGCTATATGTGATGAAACTCACACTGGCGGCATCGGCTTGATGTGATGAGGTGTTCCATCCCTTCGTATACCTCCCAGCCTAAAATCAATCCGTTCCTTCTTTATCGCTCGGTGATCTAAACATGGAGGTCGTGGAAGATGGCTATGAGTTCTTTGCGAAGCGGCAGCTAATCACGCTCTTCAGTGCTCCGCCCCTTCGCTCTTTGGAAGTAGATGTCAACAGGGAAATGTGAAAGCACAGAGTTGTTTCGTGTTCTCTGGGTTTCAATCATGGCTTGGAGGCAAACATGACGTCCAAGGCGTAGGGGACGGGACCGGAAAGGGAAATGCTGGCCCCGCTTCCGAAAGGAGGGAGGATGATGGAGCACTTTCAGGCCCCTTTGGTGGACCCCAAACCCTAAACCCAGTACCGTTGCGAGTGGCGCTCTAGCTCGCGTCTCTGCTGAGCCGAGAATTTGCAGCGTGTGGGCCAAGGAATTATTGCGGTGAGTTCGACAACGCGGGTGCGAACTGCCCTCGGTAATTTTGGCAGTGGTGCATTTCCGGGTTCGTTGACCAACAATGTTCGCAGCAGGAGTAGCTGCACCTTCCGGACAGTTGCCAGGTATGAGTCCGGAATGTTCGGGGGAGGTGCAAGTCGCCGAAGAAAGGCGTTTCAATTGAAATTCCTCGGTGCTGGCCCTGTTGTTCTCGTTTTTGGTCGTTGGACATCGAGTCGGAACTTTGAAAGAGATATTGTGCAGAAAGCAAACTTGTTACAACATACAAGTAACACTTGCTGTTCCTTGGCGCTCAGGATTTTTAGATTACAAACCATCATCGACAAGAGACATAGTGTTTGCGTGTGGTGGGGGGGCTGTGCTGAACACCCTCAGTGTTTGTAGTCCAAAAGCATTCTGTTTCACTAGCAGGCTGATGTCCAGCACCATGCTTAACACGAGCAATGCTTTCAGGGCGTCGCCTCGACCAAGGATGATGAGCATCGATGAGACACTCATGTGCAGTTTCAAGGCAGCGTGGCATACATTGGCCTACAAGCTTGTGGCTTCAGGTGCTAGACAATTCTAGACAGGACGCTAGCCTCCCAGCTTGAACTTTCACAGCTGCGCACCTCTCATGTGTTGAGCTCCCTTCGCTGGCGTTTGGGGCGTGTTCGGGGTTTGAGTTGCACGGCCTCGACCCCGAAGGCCTAGACACCGAAAGTGTGGATGTCGAAACTCGGGTGTCCTCCTGGCCCCGAAGCCTCAAATCTTCACTCCCTATTGTAACCACGAGCGTAACCTCGCACGGCAAGCCCGAGGGTATGCTGTCCGAGTTGTGCCGGGCAGGTCCTCAAGCCAGTGAAGGGCAAGAAATGACCAGCTGCCCGGGCTGCGAACATGTTTGCAGGATGTTAGGGATTTGGAAGCCCGGTGGCGGGTTTTGGAGGGTTCATTTCCATTGCGGGCTGGATGCCGAAAGGGTTCGCTCGGGGCTTAGGTGTGTTTCGGGTTTTGTAGACGATGTTGAATTTTGAATATGTGGGGGGCGGTCACAGCGAGGGCGCGTCGATCGCAGAGGTAGCATAAAACCTGTAGGGTAAGACCACATACCATAGGTGTTTGCAAAGCGTGGGGTGGGAGCCTGTAGTATGACCCCCTAAACACGCAACCCTATGACTTTAATTCAGGTTTAATATGCCTCACCCAGCAGCTGAGCTAGATTGAGGGGGTGGGCTTTTGCAAAACCCCGGAGCTCCACAATCAGGAGGATTCGTGTGGAACCTCGTGTATTTTCGTAAACCCTACAAATACTACAAAGCCATGCTGTCTATGGCATACTGTGTGGCTAACTCGGTCCAAGAACTGGTCCGGGAGGCCTGCTGTTCTGGAAGTTCCAATTGGTTCCTTTCCAGTTCGATTCAGTCCATGCCAGGCTTTGGCTTCGATGATGGGGTCTGATGCATAGAAGAATGTTGTTGCCTCCCCTCTTTCTACAGCAGGCTCTTTACATCAGCATCACCACCATCTTCATCATCACTCTTGCTTTATCAAGAACTGCCTATCAAGAACTGCCGAGCGGGTGTCGGTAACCAGGTTCGTTCATTAGGTTTGATTTGTTGGGTTTGAGAAATCTTCATGGGTTCCCTTCCGTATAAGCCCGAAACCGACATGAAGTCAAGTAAGCTTCAATTAAGCAGACCACATCGTTTCGTGTGGTGCCCAGTGCGAACGGGCTTACCACACTCCGCTTTTGAACAGGATGCTTATCCCCGAAACCCATCGGATTCCTTGAGAAGTTGATAATTCGAAAAGGATTGTAGCCGTGAATGTCTGGAGTTTCGGTGCCTGCTGCGGAGTTCTGACGTCATCCGCCATTCCAAGGACGCACACTTTGGCCCGCCGCCGACGCCGCGACGCAGTCGAACTGATCTCCGCTCCTTTAAAAATTCCGGGTACGCCGTAGAGGTCGCGGATTTGGCGTGAGACCCAATGCCTTCATCCTAATGAAAGAACAGAAAAACAATGGACCCAAGGTGTTCTCAACATGTAGGAGCTGACGATGATAATCATTCGTCAGTGCCGGCCAAAGGCCCTACAAGACGCCTCTGTGGACCTGCGAAAAGGGCTTTAAAGGTCAAATTGCTGAGGCTTAGCGTTCAGACCTACGGGATTCAGATTCAAGCTTCAAGCGTTTAGGGGTCCAGAGTTTTCTGCTTGCTTCACTTTCTGCGAACTTCTTGTTTCAGTCAGAGTTTCCCAAGCTTATGAAGGAGCTGTGTTTAGTCGACATGGACTTTTGATGATCCAGGGATTGCAGCTGGGGCAGGGGTGCAAAGACCTCAGGTCATATGGGGCTCTTTTGTGCAGTGCCTCTCCCGCACAGCTGGAGATAGGACAATGTTTTTTTTTCTGGTTGCACCTAGGGCGTCCGAGCCCTCCATCAGTACCACGAAGACTTTCGGCAGTGAATTGAACTCGTGTTGCCTTGATTCACCGTGCAGTTGCTGTCCATAAAAGTGGTCGGCCCAAGCCCACGGAGTTATTGAAACTGTCGCCTGAAGCATTCTCAATCAATCAATGAATCTATCTATCTACCTGTCGATCTATCTACCTATCTACGTACCTACGTAACTATCAACCTGTAATCTACCTATCTATACTATACACATATAGACACAGGTTTTCGTATATTTTCACATGCTGACATGCATGCGTCCATGTATGTATGTATGTATGTATGTATGTATGTTTGTATGTATGTATGTATGTATGTACGTATGTACGTATGTATGTATGTACGTACGTATGTGTTGATTTATGTATGGTAATTTCAGTATGTATGGTATTGTAAAGTAATGTTAAAGTAATGCTAGTTAGTACGTAGGTATGTACGTAGGCATGTGTGGCAATGCAAGTGTGTAATGTATGTAGGAGTAAGTAAGTAGGTAAGTCAAGTAAAGTAAAGTAGAGTGAAGTGAAGTACAGTACAGTAAAGTAACGCCGGCAAAGTAAAGTCAGTAAAGTAAAGCAAAGTCAAGTCAAGTAAAGTAAAGTAAAGCAAGGAGAGTAAGTAAAGTAAGTAAAGTATGGTAAGTAAGTAAGTAAGTAAGTAAGTAAGTAAGTAAGTAAGTAAGTAAGTACGTAAGTAAGTAAGTAAGTAAGTAAGTAAGTAAGGTAAGTAAGTAAGTAAGTAAGTAAGTACGTAAGTAAGAAAGTAAGTAAGGAGCTATAAGTAGGTAAGTAGGTAAGTAAGTGGGTAGGTTGGTAGGAGTAAGTAAGTATGTGTGTATGTATGGTCGTAAACACGTATCCATGTACGATGGATGCATGGATGCAGGGGTGTATGTGTGTGCGCGTGTGTGTGTGTGTGTGTATGTGTGAATGTGTGTATGTGTGTGTGTATGTATGTATGTATGTATGTATGTATGTATGTATGTATGTCTGTATGTCTGTATGTCTGTATGTCTGTATGTGTGTATGTGTGTATGTATGCTTGTATGCTTGTATGCTTGTATGTTTCTATGTATGTATGTATGTATGTATGTATGTATGTATGTATGTATGTGTGTTTGTATATGCATTGGTTATTTTTTGATTTGATTGTTTCTTGAAATATGTATGTCTGCGTGCGTGTGTGCGTGCGTGTGTGTCTGTGTGTATGTGTGTATGTGTGCGTGTGTATATATATATATACACACATATATATATATGTTTGTGTGTGTGTGTCTGTGTGTCTCTCTCTCTCTCTCTGTGTTTGTGTCTGTGTGTGTGTCTCCTCGTGTGTGCCTGTGTGTGTGTGTTTGCGCGCGCTGCTGCTGTGTGCAAGAACGCGGAAGAATGTGCAGCACGAGCCTGTGGATCATGTTTTGGCGATAGCACGATGGGTGGCACCACGCAGTGCTGGAACCGAGCAGATAACAGTAACCTCTAAATCCTTGTAGCTGATGGAAAAGTAAAAAGCACGATTCTGTGCCACAGGATCCCTAACTGCGCAGGGCTACAGTTAGTCAAGGGTCAAGGGCATTCGGACGCTCTGGGCCGTGCTCTCGAAGTTTCACAGTCGGCTGTGTGCATGCTTCAGTGGCAACACTCCTGGTTCGCTGGCGGCGCAGTGGAACTGTCCACCCGGGGCAGGCACCACTGCCGCTTTTGCTGCCATAGATCTACGGTCACCTCTCCGCATGAAATTGGCCCGTAGAGCTTCAGGCAGTCGCTTGCTTAGCCCAAGTAGCCTAAGTGCCCTAAGCTTTGGCCATCCTTCAGACTGCATCTAGCCGCGATAAGATCCACGATGTCGGGCAGCCAATCACAAGAAAACCTGCGCGGAAAATTGCAGATTTTCCTGGTTCAAGAATTGCTATGAAAATTCCCAGCGTCTTCCAGTGCATTGGTTAGACATTGTCAAGCTTGCCACTTGTTCAGTTTGGCTTCGACATCATTTCTGGTCTTTGAATCTGGCATACAAATATAACCGCCAGCTGTGTTGCACTAAACTGAAAGCCAGCGCGGTTGTGGTTGTTGAGGGCTGAGGCTTGGGGACAAGAGTTTCTGTTTGCAGGACTTGGCTGGCCATAACCGGAATCCTTTACTCGGCCTTAATTCGTACTGCGCCGACAGTCCCTGTACGTTTGGAGTATCGTCTACCCAGAATTGAATTTCAATGAATAAGACCCTATAATTATTGCTCGAAATGCCAAGAACTCCGTTGCTTTGAACCAACACCCGAAGATTGAATGAGCAGCCAGCCGGTGGGGCTGGAGGTCGCAGCAGAGCTGCCGCAGCCGCAGAGACTGGAGGATTGGTCAAGAAAGCTGTACATCTTGGCTGTCGTCTATGATGTCAGCACAGCCTCCTGCGAGTGTCAGAAAATTAAAATACAGACCCTAGCAGCATGGATCTGAAATTGCCCGACTGTTGTTCTTAGGGTCTCCAAGAACATGCAGCAGTCTTAACGCTTGGCAGAGGCTGTTGCCCAAAACGACTTTCAACCAGCTTTGACATCAAGCTCTGCTGTTTATTCTTGGTGATGGAGCAGCTTCTATCCCCACATGTGCGAAGACCATGTTGACTCCTAAATGAATGGTAGAATGGTGTGGTTCGGCATCATTTTCTGTTGCTATTGCCGTATATCTGCGACCAAGAACTAAAGCTGGCATACCGCTTAATTTAAGCTTGGGCGTGCCAATATATCATTATACATTGCGGTTCGTGCTACGTACCGTTGAGATGGTTATGGAGCCAACAAATCACAGACCCAACGCACTGACCAGGGGAAACTTGTTGCTATTGCATTGCAGGGCCGTGTGGGACGCGCCTTAACCGAAACTTTGTGTTGTAGCTGACTCTCACACTTGGTAGTTGCTGCATCGGTGCTTCCAGCTTTTTCTGCAGATCCCCGCGCTAAAACATTCTACAAACGACGCAGGGTGCCATTCCGTAGCCAAAATCGAAAGGGCTTTGACTTCAAGCAAGAGGGCGGAGTTCCAAGCAATAGGTCGGGGCTTATACTGTCGTTCAGAGCCAACAGGCACTGGTACTAGGAAGTGGAAATCGCGTGGTTTTTGGACCAGTCCTCCCTAGTTGCGTGGCAACCCGTGACGGGGCTGCCTTCTCGGCAAGGGAGCTTTCTGCGAAATCCGCACAGGTATGGGCGTTGGTTTTCGTACTGCAGTACTGTCTCGTTGAGAACGTGGATCTCGGCAAAGCCTAACCGTCAAGGTACACCTTCTTCAGACGAACGATTTCACGCAGTTTGCGTGAAATGAGTCTTGGACCACACGCTTGCCGGATTTCGCTTCTGCCCGGGTGCTTGCAAATGTGCAAGCAAAATTCGATGCCTTCACGGTTATTGGCAGCTAGCGACCCCGTACTCCTGAACCCTCAACATGGGTAGCTCGTCGGAACTCCATCGAAAACGGTTCGGGCCATTAGGGTTTAGGACCGCCGTGTATGCTGAGCGAGTGGCATCGAATGCTCAGAGGCACGACGTACATCTGAAAAAAACAGCGCTTGCGATCCACTGCGATCAGGATTCGTTGTGCTGCCCATCCTACGACTTCCCTCCAAGCACCCTTCAATTTACTAGGACCGCTAGGATCTGACCCCTTCTGCTTCAAAGTCCTAATTCTAGACCTCCAGCTTGTTTTGCGTGATGCCTTCTTCCGGTTACATCAGGGAGTGGCTCTCCGTATTCGACCTTGGTCACGGCTTTAGGTTAGTAAGTTATCCAGCTCAGTATGGACAGAAGGTGCATGGATGACATTCGTGCAGACGAACCTGCCTGGCAATGCCCGGTGTGCAACAACAAGCTGCACGACACAGAGGACAGGGTTAGGGTATTCCGTGGACACTGCTGATGATGCAAAGGCTGTCAGGAACTCCAGCTGTCCGATTCCAGCGAACTTGTTAGTGTACACGAGTGTTTGAGCATTCAGTACAGTACTATCGCGACTACATCGCTACCGCTGGGCCGCTGGGTTCCTGGTTGCCCTTCGTAGCATCAGTCAACAGCGTGGTCTTATAATTGTCTGCAGGCTTGAGAGAAGTGTTTACTCCACGGACTGTCGGGTTCTGTTAGGGTTTTGTGGTGTCTTCAACCCCCTCCCCCACTCCCCTCAGTGGCTCGCGCAGCAGATATGCTGCCAGGTGCCCTTGCAACTGTCCCTATTGCTTTGCCCTCACACCCATCACGGCTGTCGTCGGAGCAGAAATGACAAAGAGGTTGCTCTCATCAGCTGTGTTGTCGTTATGTGGGTGCATCATTCAGAAGTTTGTAACAGCGTTTGTAAATTTTATGTAGTGATCACATAGCGCGAGCTGTAGGACACGTACATGGATGCTTGTACTAACAACGAAACCTCTTAACTCAAGCCCCTTGGCCCTAAACGGCCCACAACCCTATAGTCAGTCGTAGCATGGCACCATCAGCCATGAGGACTGCGCTCGGGGGTGGTTAAGGCTCCGACAGCTTGGCACCCAGTCAGCCATACGCATTAGACTTGCTTGTGGTCGTAGCCATTGTTGTGGCCCCCAAACTCCTAGCACCACCACTACATGACTCCAACAGGGAGGTTCGTAGACGCCCAGCTTGTCTTTTCCTCTGCTCTCCCTTATGACCACTGCTTCCACCAGCGCTGTCGATGCCATTGCCATGATGAATGCTTGTTGGAATGCCGTGGTGCCCGTCAGTCACCGAAGGTCGAAAGATCCAGTAGCCTGCAAAGAAAATGACCTCGAAAGGATAGCAGTCGTCGTCATCGCCGTCGTAGTACTAGTGGTAGTGGTAGTGGCAGAAGTACTCGTGGTGGTGGTGGTGGTAGTAGTAGCAGTGGTAGCATTCGTGGTGGTGGCAGTGGTGGTGCCAGTGGTAGCTGCATTGGTAGTAGCAGTCGTCGTGGCAGTCGTAGTAGTCCTGGTAGTTGTTGGAGTACATAGTAGTTGTTGCAGGAGTACAGGTCGTCGTCGGCGCCGCCGTCGTCGTCGTAGTCGTAGTCGTAGTCGTCGTCGTCGTAGTGGTAGTAGTGGTGGTAGTAGTAGTAGTAGTAGTAGTAGACGCAGCTAGTAGTTAGTAGTTTCTAGCTAGTCGCTAGTAGTCAGGAGTCAGTAGTTAGTAGTTAGAAGTTAGGAGTTAGCAGTTAGCAGTTATAGCAGTTAGCAGTTAGTAGTTAGTAGTCGCAGGTACAATCTCTCAGCTTCCACGGAAGCAGCGAAGACTACCTACAAAATTGCTTACTCTTATAAAGTGCTCTTGAACTACAGAGCGATTCTACTTCTACTATGCCTACTGACTTCAACGAAACCTTAAAACCCAAAGCCTAAAAATCCAAGGCCGAACCTCAACACCGTAACACCTGAAAAGCCACCCTGAAACTAAGCCATGGGTGTTTGGGGTATAGCTTGTTGGCTGTTATGGAGGACAGCTCTCAGACTGGCTTTGAGCTAGCGGTTCTGCACTTGTCGTCGTCTTTGAAGCAGCATTCCCTGACAGCTTGCTGTACTCGGTGGCACGTGCTGAGTATGGTGTTAATGATTCGACGAGACCAGTATCGCTGCAGACCTTGCGAGGCTTGTCCGAGTATGAGTGTCAAAAAATCTACTCACTAAGCCATCGACCTAGGACCTAGGGTCTAGAACAGCGGGATGTTACCAAGCCCCACAAACCTCAAGACCAAAGCCCCGAAGCCTAAATCCCTTAAGCCGTCAGTGTATTCCCATGACGAACCTCGCCTGTGGGCATAGTTCCCTGCCATGTGAGAGGGAAAGGAACCTTTAAGCTCAAAACCCTCAAACCCTGCATCGTTAGCCCCTAAACGCCCTAGGTCCTGTCCAACATGCCGATCGGCGGCTTTCGCCCCTCCTGAGGAAGTGACCAGGGGTTTGGATTGTTTAAGGAGGTTTGAACCAGGACTTTGAATGCTCGAACTTCGCGTTTGGGCATTGGGTCTCAGGATATAGAGTTTCTTGTTTTTTTGCAGCGCTGCTTCTGGATCAACGGAACATTTCTACGCTGTTTGCAGGATTTCAGAAGTTGGGGCACCAGGGTTCTCCAGATGTTTGCGTCGCAGCGGGAGCATCACCGAATTGGGGCACACTCCAAGTCGGTCATACTACTCGTAGGGATGCACATGGCAACCAAAGCGCGTGCTACTTGCCCTGGCCTTTGAAGCTAGGCACAGCACCCCACTCCCTGCGAATCTGCAAACGACCAATGCGTGCGAAACGAGAGTGAATCTGAACCCGCAGAGGTACCTGCACCTCTCCGCAGTCGACGCCGGCATCCCCGTGCGCTTTCAGAAGAGGCAGGCAGCCTTTTCGGACTCAGCGGAATTGGAACTGAAGGAGGGGACATCGCCGTGGATCCCGTTTGTAAGGGGCCAGTTTTGACATCGTGAAACAGCTGCCCGCTACAGGATTGGCGGTTCAAGAGCTTCTGGGCGACACCCGTCTACCAAGACGGTTGAGACTGCCAGCTTCCTGACTCTGCTTATGGCTCTGAGCCCAGACCTTCGGCGAACACGCATGTATGTAAGTTCGCAGATACATGGATGTTAGATATGTATGTATATGCACGCGGGTAGGTGTTCTGTGTACCCTACTGGCATTTGTTATTGATCCGGCAGCTCTCCGTCGGCCGCTACTTTTGCAAGGGAAGATCCGACGCCTTTCCTAAATGCCATGCGCCATGAGTCATGCCCGGCACGCCAGGAGGCCACAACAGGGTTTGGGGTATTAGTGGTTAGACTTCTGTGGGTAGAGAAATCCGCGAAGCTTGGGGTTCTGGGGTTTCAGAAGGGGTAAACACCCCTGAGCCCATCCTATAGACCCTATCATGCTAACCCATTTATCGCAAGCCAGGACGACGATCGAGACTCTTCCGAAGTGTTGCCTGTGCAGTACGACCAAGAACGTCAGAGCCCCATAACTTGAAGTTCGAGGTTGTTTCTATTCCATCATGGGCGTGAGGAGAGGGTCTTTGTTTGCCTTTTGAGTCTCCTAGATTCTGAAACAGCGTGATGTACCCAGCTCGTCGAAACAGGCCAGTCGAGGGCGAAACAGGATTAATGTGAAAGTACCTTTCTGGACGAGTCCACTCGCGAGCTCAGCCCTGCCTGTCCCGATCCCAACCCATTGACCCAAAGCAGCGTAATAGCCTTTTCTTGCATGGTTTTCCGTGAGAATCCAAAAGCTTCAGATTGCCAGCTTGTCCTGCAAAGCAGAAACCGAGGCGCTCGGCGGTCGTTGGACACCGTGAAACCTGATACTGCAAGGTTGTTCGGAGTTGTTCGTTAACCTGAAAACATTGCAGTCAACCCTACCCCACAAGTCCCGCAAAGTGCTTTGCCGGGCTGAGCCACTTCTGGGCCTTATTGAGCTTCTACCGAGGTCCAGAGAGACCACTCGGGCGCGCGGTCCGGGTGCCATCGACAGAAGGCACTCTGGTGGCCAGGCTTTCGTCTACGCGTAGCAGCCAGGATACGGACGAACGAACATAGTTTCGCTTATATAGCATAAAGCTATCGTAGTCTATGGATGCTTATGGATGTTTATGGGTATGTGTATGTTAACACATGCCATGTGTGCCTCATACTTGGATCGATCATGATAATGCAGAGTCGGATTTACAGTTAAAAGTATAGAGGTTGATAGTTGACTGTGTCGTAGAAAGTAGGTTCAGTGAAGATATGGCACTCTAGTAGAATCTAGCAGTTGTTTTGATCCTGCCCACGCTTTTGGGTGCCTTTGCAGTCAGCCGCAGTCAGCGAGTCCGCCTTTGAAGGAAGGAGGTCCAGGTCCAGGTCCTAAAGGGAAGAGTAAGAGAATCCCAGCAGCACTTCAGAGGTATCGTTGCCTGGTTTTCCAGCCGGATCTTCTTCAAGGAGGCGTGGCATTCTGGACGATGGTTCTTTTGTTGTTGCACTATCAGCAACTATGGTTCCGTTTGCTCGTCAGTCGGGGTTTCCGAATGCAAAAACTTTAGAACACTCCGCGCCTGCACACCTCCGTGCTCACGGACAGGAGCTACGTGGCCAAGTAATTCGTTGCCCACGTTAAGGCATTCGGCTGTCGTGGAGAGGCAGCGGACATCCTCCCTTCTCATGGAATTTGCATAGCACTGATTCAAAAACTAAAGTAGCGTCATACTGCAGAAATTCCCCGAAGTGGCGTTTCTCCTTAAGCCTTGAGCCTGCAGGCAGCTGTCTGCGGAAGCTCTTTAAGAAGCTAGAGGGGACCTAGTCCATTTCAGCCCAAGCCTAGGGGCCTAGTACCTAACTCAGAACTTGACATTGCAATTCGGGAGCTTTGAAGTTTCGAAAGAGACGAGAGTCGAAGTCAAGAGCTTCAGTTAACTCGCCACCAAAGCAACGGGACCCATACCTTCAACCCAAACCCTAGTTATCCTCATGACCCTCAGCAGCTCAGAGACAGCAAGCATGTGCAAGACCCTAGGGCCCTAGAAGTCTTTGGAGGAGCTTTTGCTCGTCGAGCCGGGTCGGCTCTTCTATTGGGGCGTTCTTGACGGAGTGGACAGCGGCTGGTCTGGAGACGTTTTGTTGCTCCAACCACTCGGGGGATGTTCTGTCAGAATAGTGCTGATTTCACCTGTTGCATGTGCCCCTGTTTGTTGTTCCACATTGTGCTGTTTGTTAGTTTTCTACCGAGCAAGAATAAGTCAAGTAAGTAAATGAGTTTTTCGCCCGGGGCCATCCAGCCCTTGCATCTGCGCTGTTCGGCGGCCTCCCTCTCGGTGTGCCAGGCTTGCATGTGCCAGCCCCGGCGTGATAAACTCCTTCCGAGCCTCCATCGGATTCCATCGTTCTACGGGGGAAAGCGCGGTGAGCAAAAACCATGGGAAGGGGAGGGGTCCTCGTCCAATGTGGTTACAGGTTTGTTTGTGAATCCTCAACAAACTCAGGCATTCAATATCGCAACGCTTGCAGATTCCTACATTGATCCCTGAGGCAATTGCATTTTCGTTAACACCGCACTGCTGCAAAACTTGAGCAGCTCTTGCAGATGCAGCCCTGATCCCCGGTCCGAGGACTGCAGAAGATGCTGTTACCAGTGTTCAGCACCTCAGCTGCAATGCTTCAAGCCTTCTCCCAAGTATGGCAAGGAGAAGCGGATCGCAATGCGAAGCCTTGACAGCCTGGCTGGCACTCGCGGGCCCGCATGCTAAAAAGGCCGAGACTCTTGGCATGATGCTCTGTGAAGGCCATATCCACCGTGACGATCACTGCGAACGGTTCTGCATCTTGGTGATGCCATAGAAAAATTGTCGGGGCTCGCCGTAAGGGAATGTCGGATCATACGCGACCGGTGCCTTCTGAAGAACCAAGCCGCAGACAGGAATAACGCAGCTTGTGCTTCCAGCGTTTGTACAAGTGCCCAAGCATCAACAAGTTCTAACCGGAAGGATAAACCGCAGGCAGTGTCAGCATCCTATGGGCACGTCGCAAAGCCCGAAACCCTAAACCGCTCTTGGCACTGTCCACACAGGTCTACTCCACCAGACGAGAGCCATTGCTAGAAGATGTGGCTGCGTTGCTGCAGCAAGAATTTTGCTGAAATCCGGCCCCTTCGCCACCCTCCCCCTCAAAACAAGACTCCAACAACATTCACTTTAGTGGGCCTGCGGTTGGGGCGCTGCTGGTCACTCGATCCCTATATCCGGATGTGTGACCACCCACTTACGTCACCCGTGTCCAGGCTGATGCAATATAGGGGCCGAGATAATTACCAATACTATTGCGGGGGGTTCCTTATTATAATTATATAGTATAATGGACCCCAAATCCTATTCTCATATGTTAAGTCCCCAACATTAGAATGCCAGAAGCAGCAACCGCAGCTCTGTAGCCTCAGTTCCTGCTTAAGGATGTAAAACAGTAGCAGAGCTAGCGGGCATCCAGGGATACCGAGTGCACGGTCTCAACTCTGAAGTTGCTTTCATCTGCACGTATCTACAGCATCGACAGCAACAACTTTGACGATACATGCTTCTAAAGCACAAAAGAGTCCACTCGTGGCAACATGTTTGTTGCTGTTCGTTTACTTGTGTTTGCTTGTCTCGTTCTCTCTGTCTGCATGTTTGCACCCAACTCTCCACGAGCCCAGCCTTCCGAAGCCAGGCTTTGATGGCTTTGACGACTGCAGTGGCTACGTAAGGATGTGCCGGTGCTGCTAAAGTCGACTTGAGGTTGGGTGCAGTGAGGTGAAGATGAGAAATCGAATCAGAGGCTTTCGGTGTGGAGTGATGGGGTCGCCATGTGGCCATTCAGGAAATGGTGATTCATCAGTGGTTCCAGTTTGGGAATGGTTGTGACGGTTATGATTTATGATATGCCGGTGAGTGCTCTTATTCGTCCTTGCATGCCACAACTGCTACGACAATGAAGGCCGACAAATGTTTGTTTGCGCCCCAGCCCAGCCCAGCATGTCTGGCCCCCTCCGCCCACCATGCTGGACTAGTAAGGTATGTCTCGCACTTTCCCTGCATATCCTGCATAGTTGCTTGGCGCTGCAAGGCAAGGCTTTCGTTGGGTTACGAGGCGAAGGCCGATGCAGCAGAGGAATTGTGATACTCTTCCTGGGGCAGGGCAGCGAAGGAATTGTAATGCACCTTGCGCCGCTAGCAGATCTCCTCGCCGGAGCCGCTATGGTCCTCCTTGAGACTTTTGTTATGCAAAGCACCCTTGAAGTATGAAGTGTGAAGGCCTGAGCCCTCAAAAGTCTTGGGAAGCCTTCCGGATTCTGCGTCTTGAATGCGCAGAGGATTTTCAGTAGTTCGCACATGCCTGACGAGCTTCAGGACCTTAACTTTATCTTATTCACAGGCCGCAAATCCTCGTAACCTGTCCGGACAAATTTCGGAGCATACTGAACAAACAGCTTCTTCATCTGCTTGACATGAACATATCTTGACTTTCCTCGTGCGCACTGTCCCAGTGCATCGGCTTGTGCACATTCTCTAGTTGTATGTGCCTTCTGCTGTATGGAGGCTGCCGCAGAAACGGAAGCGGAAGAGCGGGGGGATCCGAGTAATAACCGTCTGCACAGCTATGCATTTACATTTCACATGTGGGCAATTTCATAGTTGCGGGCGGTCGAACTCCCAAAGAGGAGAGTGGGGAGAGCTACTTCTCTTGCAGAGTTGGTCCACTCTGACGGCTCCCTTGTAGCTGCAGGGGGGGAGGGGGGGGGGGGCACCGTTTTGTCGGCCATGGCTTTTGATGTTTTTCTTGAAAAAGCCAGTTTAGGCCAGGCACACCCTGTAAATTCTGCTTCAACGATGGCCCACCGAGGCTGTCATCTGCCAGTTCGTGCGGCTTTTCCCAGCAGTTCGTTTCGAGCTCGACTCTCTTCACGGATCAGCCCAGAAACCGAAACGGTGCACTTAGCTGTACTGCAGATTGATCAGAGCTCTGGCAAATCCCTGAACCCAAAGCTGATGTACGAGAAGTATAGAAACAGCTAATCATGGCACTTTCAGAGTCTCAAGGTTACCTCGGCACAGAAAAAAGCCTCTGCTTTGGGGATGTTGGGTGCGATAGGTGGGCGTTGTGAGTTAAACAGGGTAGAAAATTTCGGGTTGCAGGGTTTGTGCTCTGCTGCGAGGGATTTGGCCGGGCGAGCTCAGTTCAAGCCTGTGGAAAAAAGGGTTTGTGCTCTAGGTTTTCCGGTGTGGGCATGACGGGTTCATGGGCAACGGGGTTAGGGTTCAAAGCGCACAAGGTTTCAAGCATTTAAGGTGACGCTCCGGGGGATTTCTTCAGGCAGCTCGTGTCACATCCGCTTGGACAGCCGCACGTTGGGGAAAAGCCCTAAACCCCCTAAACCCTAAACCCTGGACCCCTAAAAGGGAGTCTCCCTTTTGCTGACTCCTGTGGAAGCGGCCGCTCGGCGGCTGTGCGAGCCCGACTCGTCTCGAGCACAAAACGAACGAAGCCTCTAAGCCATAGCCGTTAGGGTTTGGGGTTTAGGGATATCCCATGCAACTTTCAGCTTAGGACTACGACAACTTGTGGAAGACACGCTTCCAGTCTGGGCGCCAGCATGCGAAGCCTGATGCCGCGAAGATCTTCGATGTTTTGGAGGGCACTGTTGACGATGGCCAAAGCCCTTCTGCTGTCTCTTAGCACTGAATACTGCTCCGACAGCTGGGCTGTACACAGCTGCACGTGTCACCGTGGATTGGCGAAGCCCCTTCTCGACAACACTTACACTCCCCATTGGGCGATCTCTGGCTTCCTCAACCATTGGATAAGGTCTCCGACTTTGACAGCCTTGACATGGACAGAGGAGGGAGGGCAGCGGCAGCTGGAGTCTGACCTTCTGGACTTTGAGCATCGATTTGGAAGCCCCAGTGCAGCTAAAGACGAGGTATGTATGAGCCATGGATCATTCTCATCCCCGGGTCTACATCATCTTCGGCTTCCGGTGTTCGTGGGTCGCACCTCTGCGAGGCGCTGGCTGCCAGCAAAAAGGTTCTGACCAGACATGGGCCCGGGGTTCTGAGCCTGCTTCGCAGAACAGTTGGGATATGGGGTCGCAGAGCATTTTTGTTTTGCGAAGCCGTTCGCAGTAATCTCTGTTTTGAGATGGCCTTTCGGTAGCTTGCTCTTCAGCTCCCGCATGATGCATTAAGGTCACTTAGCCAGAAGCTCGGGAAGCTCATGGCACTTTCAGGTTCTCGAGAAACAGGGCGTCCTTAAAATGTCTAGATGGGGAGACACATTGCTAACTGAAGCCTGCTAGATAAGAGCCCGGAGAGCCCGTGCTTGTGTCGACCTATATACATGAGCAGGTTTACACAGAAGAACTCCACTGCATATGCACGTACGCGTTCATGTGTTCATCTTAGTAGCAGGCATGTGCACATGGAAGCATGCAAGCACGAAAAAAACAAGCGAAAACACATGCGCGTGCACGACAGATACACTCATAGAGCTATACATGCGTCTGTTCATTGATCCAGGCTGATATCCTTCCTCCTAACATCGCGAACCCCCCATCTCGAGACAGGGTTTAGGGAGAAGGCTTTCGTGCGCAAGGTCTTACTGTAGTGCCCTAGAGCTAGCCTAAAACCCTAAACTGGCCAATCTTAAAAGCCTACACCTCAGACCTACACCCTCAGCGTGGGGAGCCAACACCCTAGACTTTTTCGGACGGAGGCACCCGAAGCTCAAAACTCTCATATCCCCAAAGCCAGAGATGTCTTTGCCACAGATCAAGGCCCTAAGGACTCCTGGTCCTTGGACCAAAGGGATTGGGAAGTCTCTGGGTTGGAAGGTCCAAACCCTCCCTGCTTGAAGTGCGATTGCAAAACGCTACATCATGCCCTTCGTGGGTTTAAGAGTTCAGGTGTAGGGCCGTCTAGAGCTTTCAAGTTTGGGGTTTGGGAGACAAGACGTAGGGTAAGTGTTTGTCCAATCGGTGGTGACATGAAGGTCGAGCCCTAAACCAGTATGGATAGTTCGTTTCGCGTGGACCATGAAACCTACAGCCACAACCCCCTCGTGGTCAACTGAACTGACAGGCTCCGCCCTTCTCGGACATCCTGCGGCCGCGCGGTTTGCCACAAATCGCGGTGGCTTCGTCCATGATATGTTTAAACCAGACTGGGGGAGGGGGAGAATCACCCGGAGAAGCTGCAGCGAGCTGCAGGAGGGGTCCGAAAACCTTCAGCAAAACCTGCTGGGCTTACCGCCAAGCTGAGGTGTCTGGTACCAACGTGCTGAGGCATCACGGCCGTGTCAGGAGTTGAGTTGGCGCTTGTTTCCGGGATGTGGAGGTGAGCCTGTGGTTCGAGGTCCCTGGTTGGGGCTTTCGACATGAATTGTCAATGAAGCCGAGTGCATTGACAGGGAAGCGCGTCTCAAGTTCTGATGATATCAGATGAACTATATGCCACGCCTTGCTTTACAAGTTAATGGCGACGGATGGTGTCGAAGTGAAGTCCCAAACGTTCCTTCGAGGTCCACTCTTGCTGCAGCCGACCCACACGAGGTGCAGCGGTGCATACCGGGTCAGGAATGTGTT